TAGGGGGTTGTTGATGACTTTTAATGGGGGTCACCCATTTTGTTCTGGGGAGTTAAGGGAAGGGGGGCTCCAGCAATTTCATACAGACGTACTAGTGGGGGTCAGCAATTTTTTTACATAAAACTTTGTTTAAAATTATGCTCAGAAATTATGGGCAGGGGAGGGGGGTCATTGATTTTGTACATGACATGCAGGGGGGTCACTTATTTAGTACATAAATTTTAGCGGGGGTCATTCACATTGTACATGCTTCTCCATAAAAATCATCATCACCCCCTAGCCATAAATTATGACCGGTCCCTAAAGAGGCTGAGAAAAATATAACAATATACATACAGTGAACAAAGGTAACTATTCTCCATGATGAAAGATATCTAAAATATATTCCATATTCCATATTTCATATACATCACATGAAATCACTCCAAACATTTGTAAATTATCTCAAAATACATCTCTTAATAAACCAATCAGTGATTTAAAGGATTCAGGTTTACTGAAGCGTGTATTTTCAATATGGCACCTTGACAGACAATGAATTAGATCCATATAGTAGACTAACTCCCAACAAAGTAGAGTATATAGTGAACTGTGAACGACTGAAAGAGCTGACTCTTGTCTGTCAAAAGCTGTGAGACTGGAAGGTCGCGGGTTCGATCCCCGGCCACGTCATACCACAAGACGTTAAAGTATGGTACTTGTTGGTCCCTGCCTGGCTCTCGGCATTACTGGGTACAACAAGGACTGGTCGGCTCGGATTCAATATAATGTGTCTGACTGGGGTATTCATGCTTCACTGCGGCATGGTATCTCAGTGGGCTAGCACTATAGAACCAGCTTAAGTCTGGGCTAGTACAAGCAGCCACACGCATGCATGTCGGCATTTGGGCGAAATGTTCTTAAGTACAACAATAAACCCCATTTCACCTTACCTCAAAAGCTGCATCAATACTCAGAAATGTCACAAGTACAAAGTAAATCTGGCACCACAAGTCAAGGAACTGAATTTAGGGATAATGGGTTACCTGGGCACTGAAAGGGTGAGTGAGTGAGTTTAACTCTGCCTTCAACAGTTTCACTGTTATATCATGGTGTGTCAATTGTGGGACAAAAACAGAAAATCATGCAGGTCTCATACTTCACCACTTATGTGAAACCCGCAAGTACACACATGCTTCTGACCCACCTAGACACCGAATCCAGGCCTGATTCAAACACAGGACTTAGGTATCCGCTGTGCTAAAGGGAAGCAAGCTCTGCTTAGCAAACTGTGGCACATTAAATGACTCGGTCACCAACTTCATTCTTTGAATGATGTTTTGGGCCATTGAGAAGAAATATTGGAAGCTCTTGGTAGGTATTTCCTAAGCATTTGGTGAGATTCTGTTCAACATGCTCTCATGCCAGTGTTCAGAAATAGTGTCTGACCCTCTGACAAATCCGGGCAGATTCACCAGCGGTCCAATAGAAGTCTACAACCCACCTGCCCCAGTGTCTGACTGTATATCTCACAATGACCTTAACTGAAATTGTTTTATGTGACATGTGACACTTGTTTGCTGTTTATAAATCTTTTGTTTGTTAATAATTTCAATGCCAATTATAAGAAATGTTAAATCTGAAATGTGTGTTTAATTTTATTCTATAGATGCTGTGAATGTTCAATGGGTCAGACGAACATCTGAAACTTACAAGACCCAATGTCCGGGTTGAAACACCATTCGTGAACACTGGATGCTGGGGAAATAAGTTATTAATTTCAGAATAGTTCCACACTGGCCTACACACTGCAGCAATATGACATCATAAACAAGCAGAAGGTTCAACTGACCAATCAGAACAATGACTCCATTATGCTCATATAAACAAGTTACTACTCAATAGATGTATTTGTTGAAATCTTTGTAAAATCACAGAAACAATTCACTTAAAACCAAATTCTCATGGAAGATACTGTGATAATACCTGGCAGATTGTGTTGACTTGAGATATTTGTACTGTGTGAAATGAAAAGAACTAAGGGAAGGGAAGAATTAGACTTTAAACACCGACTGAAATTAACATCATTAGTAGACAGTCTTCGACATATACATTCCAAAAATATTCTTCTGGTAAATACCAACCAGATCATATTTTGATTTCAAAGCTCAATACAAAGTTTTGATATTCAGCATGAGGTATTGTACATTCAGGTGAAACAACATGTGTTTATGCTATGACAAAAGTAAACTTCAGTCAGTCTGACACAGACCACACAACATGAATAACATGTAGTCATGACGTTCCCCTGAATACTTACAGGAAGTGTATATTGCTACAACATGCCCTCTTTTGTTGAAAGCAATTATTCTGTTTTGATCATATAATGGACAGTGTTACTTAAAAGACAAACTGGTCTGAAACCTTTGACATCACTTGACATAATCGTACAAATGAGGTCATAATTAGAAACTACTTTTTAACTCCATAACTCAGTCTAATGTTTACTTGATCAATGAATCCTTGACGGTTTTTCTAGGACGGTTTTGATTGGAGTGGTTGGGTGGGTGAGTGGTCGAGTGAGTGAGGTTTTACACCACTTTTAGCTGTAATACAGCAACATCACGGCAGGGGACACCAGAAATGGGCTTCACATATTGTGCCCATGTGGGGAATCAAACCTGGGTCTTCATCATGAAAAATGAAAGCTTTAACCACTTGGCTACTTCATTCAGTGAAAATATGTTGAACAGTTTAAGAACATTATATGATAAAGAAAATGTTACCCATCCAGCGTTTCCATATCATACACATCACATACTGACAACAAATAGAGGATATTATATGAGTGCCCATGTCATACTATGTTTACGACATGAGTGCCTAAATGTTGGTATTTCCCGAGCGAGAGCAAGGGATATACCGATATTTAGGCACGAGTGTCGTAAACATAGTATGATACGGGCACGAATATAATATAGTCATCAAATTGGAAATAAACCTAAATCTACTTTCAAACATAGGCTGGCTACCTGCCGTTGCCGTATGTAGAATGCAACGTCACACAAGAAACGTGACGTTATAGCATTGTTCATGACTGACTGACTGAGTTTGGTTTTACGCCGCTTTTGGCAATATTCCAGCAACATCACGGCGGGGGACACCAGAAATGGGCTTCACACATTGTGCCCATGTGGGGATTCGAACCCGTGTCGTCGGCGCGACGAGCCAACGCTTTAACCATTAGGCTACCCCACCGCCCCGCATTGTTCATGAAGTCACGTCACCATGACAAAGTGATATTTTGCCCTAGGGCATCGTATGAAAAATATGAACCCCGATATTTTCGCCCTCGTAAGTAATACAGATATCTATAAATCTGGCTGAAGTGTTGCGTAATTCAATGTATATTTCTTCCATGATACATAAGCCAACATTTATCATTATCCAAAGTACACTGAAACACATTTACATGTTAACAGTACGCTGGAAGAAATTTCAGTGTTAACAGTACAATCGCAGACATAATAATGTTTACAGTACACAGGAACACATTTCATTGTTAATAGTACACGAGAACACTTACCAAACACTGTTTACTTTACTATGGAACACATTTCTGTCGAACTCCTCCACACCAGGCCAAAGTCCAACAGCCAGCCACACCCCTCAATACACATCTGACCACACATCATGACACATCACCATTAAATCTGCATCAACAATCCAGTTAGCTGTGGACAATACACACATTGGCCTCGTCCAGTCCCCCAACACAACAATGATCAAACTGACCGCAGTGACACAATACACATGACACAAGCAGGGCAATATGGGGCCTCTAGAGGTGTTTTTCTGCTGCATTTTCAACCCACATAGACAAAATAGATCCAGGGGTTTCCCCAAGACCTGCTCGTGGGACAATAATCAGCCCCAAGTCTGCAGGAAATAATAGTATTTCAGAAATTGGACATAAATACCAAAAATATTATATAAATAAACATTCTAAATTAAAATCTTATTTCATTCATATTACTGGGAGAATCAGGATTTATTTTCTTCTTCATCCTAACCAATGCATTGCTGGCTGGCTCTAACAGTCAGTACATGAATGTAGCCGTCTGGCCTCAACACTGTCCATGTGTCAGGCCAACTTAAATTTACCTAAATCTCCCCAAAACATTCTGATGCTGCACTTGGAAGAACATCCTCGATTAAACTCCAGGGTATACGCTCCGCTAGTATCCTGGGTGCTATGGATAATTGGCCCGATAATTGTATTACCTCCCTTTGCTGGCTCCGCCTTCTCACAGTAGCCAATCAGATAAGCCGTCACAACCGAACTTGTCAGTGTCAACAAAGATGGCGGCCGCAGACGCGAAAGTTTGCTTACTGTGTGACTCAGATTTAGGGAAAAAATCATACAGACAAATTAAAAAAATATATGCAAGAACTCCATCTACCTCTTTCAGGGTGCCTCTGCAACAATTATGTTGCCAAGTTTAATCGTTATGATAGAAGCCTTGTGATTGGTACGCTCAACTTTCCAGCGTAGACACCTGATTGGACAAAAACAATAGCAAAGACAGGTAATACAAGCATAAGCTGGAGATGCATCCTGGGTACTAGTGGAGATTTATAGGAACATATACACTGGCGATTATCGACAATGTTGGAAGAAGAGAATGCAAATAATGCTTAGATATAGAGAACATGGTAACAAATTCAGAAGAAGCATCTGCTTTGCTTTGTGCCTGATTTGCTTGCCTCATGTGGTTCGAAACTCATATTCAGTCTTAGACAATCTGTAATACTATTTTCTTTGGAAGGACAAATATAGAAGGGAGGTAATCCATTGTTTACATTGAACCTTTCAGCTGTAAACTCTCTGTGGCAATCACTGCCATACATCCCTGCAACCCCAAAATGATGCTTCATGTCTATGGGTTCGTGTGCATTTAGAAAATACATGTATTCAAAGCCACTTTTACCTCATGAGGTCAACCTTGTGGCAGTTTACAATGATTCTGACTTCAGCTGCACTTCTTGGTAGGTGACAATACAAAACACAGTTTAAGTACAAATTGAAATCACTGTTGCCATAGTAACTGTTCAGACTAAATGAATATAACTGCACAGAATGGATATGTTGATGTTATTAAATAGATGCCAATACACATATGATTGCCATTTCATATCTGATGACTATTTTATCATGATAATAGCTCGGATATATCTTTATCATATGATGTCATAGATCACTATCTTCTTGTCCGACTTTATGAAAGCTCGGACGAGCATGGATCTCAAAATATCACTAACAGTCTGGAAACTCATCTTTTCTGTTGTTAGGCAGTTAATTTCTTTGTCTACTGTCAAATAGAATGGAGATTTCTTTGCCAACATAGATGGTGGTCGCATTCTTTGGTACTTCATAAACAACGAAACAAAGCAACGATCAGGATTTGCATTATTGGGATACACCTTGTCATTCACACCTTCCCAACTGGAGCTGTTTGTCGAGACTAGTTGTAAATACTCATTCTTATATTCATCCACTTTTATGACAATATCTCCCCACTTGAGAGAGGCATGAGAACTGTTCTGGTTCATTTTGAACATTACTGAGTTCATAAACCAAACTGAATTGGTCAGTGACTCAGCGGAACCACTGCCTAACTGCCCCGTCCGGAACAACTTCTCAACATCTCGTCTTGTCAGTGGACTGACGGTCTTACCGTGGTTAGGCATGAGGTCATTTTGAAGCTGACGCAGTTGTTGTATCTTAGTCTGCAGCAGTGTACGACAGTTTAGGAACTCTGTATCACGTGTGATGGACACAGGATAGCCGTTTTCCCTCAAATATAGTTCTAGATACGACTGGATACTCTTCAGTGTGCTTATTCCAAACTCTTGTCCTCGAAGATTCCGAACAGTAACATAGAATTCAGCGAGGAGAGGATCTAACTTGTCAGGAGGGATTCTAAACATGGGATCATTGACACCCTTCTCCTTGATGAAACTCTGAAATCGTTTGACTGCAAATCGGACATAATCTTTGAAGGAGTCCAGCTTCCGTATCTCTGTACTGGAGAAAGGGTCAGCGTCATCACCAAGCACCGAGTCCTCCTCGTCCTCGGAATCCAGGTCGATGATGATTGGACTGTCCACGTTGTCATCCATGTTGTCTTCCTGATTGTCTGTGTCGTCAGAGAGTTGGGAGAGAGCTGAGTCCACATCCTCGACTGATGTAGCAGCAGAGCTGCTGCCTACCTCCAGCATCAGGGAGGAGGAAACGGTGCAGGGCACTTCAACACCTGAACATAAAACATCCAATAATGATCAGTTTCCTAATGCGCCTACTCCTGTGAATGTAGGAAAGAAAGTCACAGGAAAACAAATAAAGGATAAAAAGTCACAGGAAAAAAGTCACAATGCAATACTATTGTGATAACAGCTCAAGACGCTGTAGGCAATCCCCCCAAGAAGAAGGTAAAGACCAAATATATCAGATTGCAGCAACATGTTCATAACTTGTGCAGGGATCAAGTTAATAAGTGCAAATCAATCCCAGAGTTCCTGTATGGGGTTGGGTGGAACATTCGATTTAACAAAGAATCTTGATTGATCCTCTGTGAAGAACTTTGATTAGTAACTGTGAATCATGATTGATCCTCTGTGAGGAACTGTGATTTATGATTGATCCTCTGTGAGGAACTGTGATTTATGATTGATCCTGTGATTATTGTGACTTTTTTCCTAGCAAAAATTGTGACTTTTTATCTGTGACTTTTTTTCCTGTGACTTTCTTTCCGATCACCACTCCTGCTACTGGTAACATCACGACTTACACACATACTGTTTTCTTCCTAGATTATCAAACACATTTGTTTACTATGAAGACAAAAAGTATTTTTATGTACTAAAAGTGAACCTTTTACATGTAATCCTAAATGAGACTTTACAATTTTGCATGCATTAAACGGAATCGTTGTGGAGATGTAGGAAATAAATGAACTGTAGAAAGTGTGGAGTGAAGTGAGTGAGTTTAGTTTTACGCCGCTATTAACAATATTCCAGCAACATCACGGCAGGAGACACCAGAAATGGGCTTCAGACATTGTACCCATGTAGGGAATTGAACCCAGGACCTCGGCGTGACGAGCGAACACTTTAACCACTAGGCTACCCCACCACTCCATGCTGAGTTAAGGTTAATTTACTAAAATACAACTTTCTTATAGACAGTAGCAAAACTACGAACACTGCCAAATTACAGGTATTTTCAATCAAACTCAGTACTGTCAATGTTTTTACTACTTTGTGAATCATATGGCAGGCTGATCAGTAAAAGCAACAAATGGTTTGTTCCGACCTACTGTACAGCACTCACCTGAGTAGGAGGGGTCAGTGTGGTCACTGCCTGTAGAGTGCTGGATTCCTGTGTTGCCATGGTCAGTCTGTAGACCCGCCGCCCCATCACTTTCCCCCTCGTCTTCCTTGGCTTCATCCAGCAGCTCGATGTAGGGTTCACCTGGGGGGATGTCTGTCTCCGTCCCTGCTGTACGGTGTTGCAGTCTCGCCTGATCCTCATTCGATTTTGAAATAAGATGACGCAGGCTTGAGAAGTTCATCCTCTCTGGCTGTTCCAGGGATGTAGGTGAAGAATCACAGGATGTCTTTGGAGATTTCTTAAAAGACGTCTTTGGAGATGTCTTTGACTTTGTGAAGAGGCCTGTTAGTTTCAGTGATGGCTCCAGGGTGGCTGGAGATAAGGCTGAGGCAAGATTTGATGTAATATCTACAACAGGCTGCCCTGCCTCAACAGACGAAGACTTCATGGAGGAAGATTTTGACATCTTCTTTGGCACAAGAGGAAGATCTGTAAATGAGTCCTGGGTGTCATCCCCACCATAGCTGTTCTCGTTTGAACTACCAGACGGCAGACTCTTGGAGGGGGAACCAAGCGACTCTACTACATTGCTTACAAAATTACGGAACATCTCCTTGTCAGGAGACAGAGGTGTGCTGGATGAATGTAATTTGGCTGCAGACTCCAGAAATGAGCTGCTTCTTGACTCGATCCCTATACCACAGGAGTCTCTTTGTGTGTAGTCTTCTGTCAAAGTTGCAACCCTCCCAAGAATGCACTTCTTGGCCGAATCTTCCTTTTTATTCATATTCTTACCTTGACTTATTCCTGTATTAGAAGCAGCAATAGAGGACCTGGCTGATTTTGGTATAGTGGTTGATTGTGACTTACGTCTCTTTGGCTGCGGTGGGGCATCTAGAGCTATAATAACTTCATCATCCGAGTCTCTCGTTGGTTCACATCGAGTCCTGTCCTCCTTGTCTTCTACTACATCTAGCTTAGTCTTTTGGGACGAGCTGAACTTTTCCTTTCCTCTAGAAGATAAGGGCAAGTTCTTGTAAGCTTTTGTGCAGTAGCTTTCACTGATGACATTGCCACAGTGTTGCAGGAGCTCACTGAGAACATAACGCTCCTTCTTGGCATTGTCAATCTCCACACACACATAGCCACTGACTTCCACAATCTGATCAAAGGTCAAGTGTTCTTGGCACAAATTCTGCAGACTTTCCAGGAAGGATGAAAAGAATTTAACAGAGTAATGCTTCTCCATGCTGTCTTGTGATCACTTCCAGCACAATGTCTAATCTGAAATCAGTAAAAATTGTTGCATTAAGAACATATGTGGCCTTTGAGTATTGACACAGTAACAAAACCTAGCCTCCCAAGCAATGCTTGGCCATTGGTGTGTGTGTGTGTGTGTACGTGCGTGCGTGCGTGCGTGCGTGCGTCGCGCATGCGTGCGCATGCGTGTGTGTTAGCCTAGTGGTTCAAGTGTTTGCTCTTCATGCTGAAGACCCGGGTTCGATTCCCCACATGGGTACAATGTGTTAAGCTCAATTCTGGTGTCCTCTACCATAATATTGGTGGAATATTGCTAAAAGCAATGTAAAACAATACTCAATCCCTCCAAGCCCTGCTAGTGGAATTTGGGGGATACAGGTGGTGTGTGATCTCCTGGGAAGATACTGACATAACAACTACCAGTACTTTCATACAAGCAGATCTTGGCTGGAGTGAACCCATATTTACTGCCTGTGTACCTAACCCCTATGGCCCAATCCTACCCATGTAACCCTGTAGGTGTACAGAGTTTGTTATTAATGTCTGATTGGGAACTGTTTTACTTGAGCCCGGCCAAAAACAATTCTGACACACATATAAAACAATGATACCATTCAATCAGTCAAGTTGACAGTTTACCCTCACCCAAACCTGTACAAGCTGGAAGGTGCATGTTCATCTTTGGCCCTAGTCAGACAACAATAGTAAACATTAAACACAATCAGAGTTACCATTGGGTTTTATTATCATTAAACATCATGTAATGGGACTAGCCACAGTAACAAGCAGACCTGTGGGTAACCAAGCACTACTCGATGGCACCAGTTACCTGTCCTAGCTGACATACAATTCTTTGTTAGAGAATGTCCTGCAATGCAAAACCTTGCAAATTATTCAAGTAATAACAAGCTTTTATTCTTCAATTCTAATACAACCATATTTTAACACAGGACAGACGCTGGCACAATGCTGACCTATGACAATAAAAACAACTTACTCATGTGTTTCATAATTAGTCTATATACTGTCGATTTGGCCCAACTGCCTGCTTGAGAAATTATATCTGTTCCAATCCTGTAAGAAAAGCAATGATTTTTGTGATCATTCTTCACATCTGAATTCAATCTATTCACATCTTGGTCCATAATCTAGTACCATTACAAACCATCACTACAGCGTGAGTAATCCCAAACAGGTGCCGTCTAAAGCCAAATTGTGATAGTGTCACAAGAGTAGTTGCAAAAAATGCCAAAGCTTATTATCATAAACAGCAGTAGATCTCTCACACACAAAGACCTCAATCTGAATCCCTCGCCAATGAGAGTGTTTGCATCACTGTGAATATTATTAAATGATCACTTAACCTATATATTTGAAATGACTTGATAATTCCACAATCGAATTCGATGAGTTTTTTCTTCCTACAAGTGTATCGTTTTTAAACCTGAATATTTCGTGCGGTAGAGAAATCTACTTGGTTATAATTGTAATATGGAAGAATGACACATGGAGGTATTTCTTAGCGATCACTGATAACATGATGGAGATTTCATTACGTGTGTGCCTTTGATCGGTATTAATCTCATTGTACACCCAAGTGGCAGAAGCGCACGTAAACGGCGGAATATCATCGTTACCGTTATAGTGGCATTGACAAGCATCTATTTTACAACTTGCAACTTAATAAGAAATATATTGTGCAACAATATCAGCAACTACCTGCAGCACATACCATCTTTTATCAGCATATTCACATGGTTGTCGCTGCACGCGAAACTGACAAGTCCAAGATACTCATTAGCATATTCGTGACCTCCGCGTGAACCGGAAATAAGAAAAATCTGCGAAAAACCGAGTGGAACCAAATAAATAATACGAGCCCCGTAAACAAATTTGAATCATAATGTAGTGATAGATCTACTGATCAAAGTTAACATGAAGTAATCATGTATCATGAAGATAAACGTAGGTACAACATTTCTTATATAAGTGCGCTTTTGAAGTTTTAGATCTGTACGTGTTTGTTTCATTGTTGTTGAATCTTTTTATGGAAGAAAAGACACTGCGTACGCTTCCGTTAATATTTTTAACTACATTGTATATGAGAGAGTTTAAATATAACTGGTGTTATGTTTACTTTAGGGATTACCCGGATATTTGATAAAGATTATGTTTTATGATAAAATAATAAACAAGTGTTTTCTTGTTTTTATCTCTTTCATTGCATCAAAATGTATCAGCGAAGTTCAGATAAGTTATGGATCCCAAAACATGTTCTTTTTCCCGTTTTACAATGTTTGTTTAAAATATCAATTTTCTGGATACTCGTTTTTGCCACATAGTGATGAATTCAATATGTTTTTAATTTTAGCATGGTATCTCAGCGTTCTACTACCATGAAATCAGTATCAGGCAGAATTAACTAGATTTAAAAGCGGCCACACGCGTACATATACACGTGGCTGTAAATACAGTAACCTTATCCGCAATGTGAACCAATATTTCACCTCACCTCAAACTTGAGGGGCGGTAGCCTAGAGGTTAAAGCGTTCGCTCGTCACGGAAGGCTCGGGTTTGATTCCTTACATGGGTACAATGTGTGGAGTCCATTTCTGGTGTCCCCCGCCGTGATATCATTGGAATATTGCTAAAAGCGGCGTAGAACTAAACTCCCTCACTCAAACATGAGATATCGCCATGACTGAGTCAATGCACCCATCATTCATCTTTTACCGCCTTTCACGTTTAGCATTTTCACCGGCTTACTGATCACCCTATGCAATCATATCAACATCACTTACTGACACTCAACCAGTTGCTAAATAGATATTGTAAAGATGCCATTGTGTATCTAAGCTGAGCAGTTTGTTTTGTTTGCTTGTGGTTTAACTCATGAATCTTCCAGCTATATATGACGGCGGCCTGTAAATAATTAACATACCAGTGGTTGACATCAGGAGCATCGATCTACGCAAATGGGATACAATAACGTGTATAAAGCAGGTCAACGAGCCTGACCACCTGTTTCCGTTAGTCGCCCCATACAACAAGCACAGGTTGCTGAAGACGACATCTAACAATATCTTCACGGGTCATATACTAGTATGTAATACTCCTGTCTACTATTGTACATCTCTTTATATTTAATGGAAATATATGCTTGTATGATGGCCTCTTTGTGGCATAAACACTGCAGCTATCTGTGCGCTCTTTCTTGAATGCCGCTGCATTGTATTGACTTAATGATGGTAATGTCGTTAGAAATTAGGTTGGGGTTTTCGCGAGACAAAGATAGTGTCTTTCAACAATGGGATATGGGTACGAAACGTTATGACAAGCTGATATATAACCAGAGACACATTAAGCGAATTACATCCCTGTGAAGAATCCTTTGCTACATACTATCACAATGTGATGTGTGTCATTAAACTATTGCAGTATTTGCCATGTATACTTCTAGTTCAACAAGTTGTATGAAGGGAAACTGGGTTCACGTGGTTGATAGATTTACGCATACATAGTATGAATTCAAAAATATGATGCCGAACTGAGCATGATATGAAAACAGGCCTTCACCTCGCACATAAGTTGTTTTGTCCGCAGGTAACGTACATGCTGTTCTTTACCATGACACATGTCACCAATGCCATCAGCAGAGGCTCATTGATAAACCACGAAAGAAAGGTAGTTGTAAGGAACATACTTCGGTAGAAAAATGTTCTTCAAAGCGAAAGAGTACTTCCTGTTTAGCTAAGTGGGTCATGCATTTCTCATAAGCCAAACAAATCTGTCGAATTCGTCCACAGATGAGAGGTTTCATTTGTATGAATATGGTAAAAAATGTTATTTAATTCCTTACGCTACAGAGTCGTCGTAATCGTCACTTGTTGACTACATGGCATTGCAATTCACAAAAAGGACATTTGACAAGGCTCGTGATTATCAAATATCGAGTCAGTTATACGATCGCTTTGTCTTAATGCAGTGCTCAACAAATTCACAGCATCACAACATGCTGGCGCAGTAGTAAACATGTCAACGATGATCGGTTCCACATGGAATCAGTTGTCTAAGAACAATATTGGCAGTATAAATGTAATGTCGAAACACGTATTCTGTAAAAATTGTTTCATGGGATTAATTCCCGAGAGATATACCATGCAAAGAAATATAATTTGACAAGTGAACCGATAGTTTATTTGATTAACAACTATAGTTAATGTAATAAGCTTCTTAATTTCCATACAAGCAACCTATAGGTGGAGGATTGTTAAGATGTATGAGTGCTTGATAATTTTAAAGACAATTACAAACCAGTGCAGGAGTTTTGTCCCTTTATGCTTCCAGGATCTAGTGGTGATTGATTTGAATGTCAGATTATTCTAATTATCATCACAAAGGTTCTTCTTTTGCAATAGCCAACCATGTGCATGTAGATTATATCTTGATGACAAGGATGACCATTTGTAGCTGTCCTCCAAGAGTAGTCTCACAGCCGCACACGTGCCCTGTTGTTGGTAAAATACTGCAAACAGCCCATTTTCCAAATTGCCATATTACCTCAATTAGACAACAGGCTTGATGAAGAGCCTTACACTGACCCAAAAATGGTGCACCTTCACAAAGCGATCTTAGTGCTACAAGTACAACTTTCATAAGCAGCATTTTGGTTTTATGTGTTTCCAGTTTCAACCATGATCTTAAGTTGGGTTCGTCGGTTTAAAATGAGAAAAAAAATAAGGATTAGAAATTCTTGCATTTGTTGATATCTGCATCACAAAAAATGACAAAAACATTATTAACTTAGATTCTGCTTTACTTGGTCTGTTAAGGAATGGCAATGGGAAATCTGCATCTGGATAATAGGGAATCGCCTGTTCTGTTTTCTTTGGTATTCAGGAATTTAAATATATATATACAATAAAATACTTTGTTGTCAAATTTGCATATTTTGAATCCGTAACACAAATTTTACTGCAAGCAAATGCAGCAGAGAACTAAAAAAAAATGCAGCTGAGGACATCAAAATAGATTCAATCAGATTAAAAAGTTTTATTATTATATAATATATGAAAGTGTATTATTAAGAAAGGAAATGTAAAGAAAGAAGAATGTAATACCGAGCACTTCTCTACCTACAGCCTATATCCCAGCACTGACACAGGAAGGAAGCAATTAATGAGCACTTATTAGTACCTGAGTTATGGTCAGAGGAAATACAATTTTCATTGTTTATTTTTGGGTCAGTGGCCAAAAATTACTGTCTGTCAGGTGATGAGAAACACAGAAATAAAATATGCTAGCCATAGAGGAGATATGGTATGTGTGAGGCAAGCTAGTGCATCAAACCCATACAATTAAAGTAGGGAAGCCCAAATGGAAGCCCAAATGTTCAGGAACCATTCCTCAGGATCAGTAAAAAACAATTACACAATTAAGTGCAAAATGATCAAAGTTTTTGTAGAAAGAATTCTTACCTATATTATAAATATGAGAGGTAAAGATATGTTTATAACATTTCATTTCTAATTGCAGTGACAACAAGTTCTTCCTTTTCTGACAAAATCTTCAAGATGGAGAAACAATATTCAGTTGAGTTCTTTATGAATTTTGTGGAAAACATTCAGAATCTATGCCACAACTATCTTGAGTTTAACCAGAATGTAGAGGTGAGTGGCTATGTCTGTGTGGATATTGATAACATGAAGAAGGAGAGATATGTTCTCAGTGAGATAGTCCAGATGGGCAGCAACTCTATTAGTGAAAGTTACTGTACTAAAGTCTTCAAAACAAGTCCTACAGGCACTGTACAGAGGAGTGGATTTCGGGACATCACAAACGCTAGAACCCCAAATGTAGCCCCAAGTTCAGGGGAAGTTAATGTGCCAGGACATTCGTATTCCTTACAAAGAGTGAGGACAGGTCACCAGAGGAAAGGCGAAACATCACATACGTTATCTTTGAACAGGACTATCTCACCAAGATCTCAAACAAAAACAGCTATTGACCAAAATTACAGTGATTATCAAAGTCATAGCTCCATTTCAAATAGTAACAGTACTTTTGGTAACCCCAGTGCAAGAGGAATTCAAGGGCATGAACCTGGCTCTGGGGAGTCACAGATAAGGGCAAAGCCAAGAGCATTGACTCCAAAAGTATGTAGAACTTCAACAGTGCCTGAAAGTTCTGTACTAAAAAGACGATGTGAACGCTCCCCGCCATCAGACAGTGCTGATGATGCAGATGTGATAGTTGTGAAGCAGGAGCCGGGTGACGAGGAGCAGGAGGAGTCAGGTGATCAGCCTCCCGTCAAGCGACGGAGCGAGACCTTCCGTCTACCTTCATCACTAACAGGAGGTATGCTGTAGTTCTCTTAGTCATGTCACTGGTTATATACTTGCCCGGTAATATCTGAGTACCACTAAATTGCTCTGATACAATGATATGGCACTATAATTTCTCTGAAACAGAAAACTCTGATATGAAAGCTTTTTGTCATTTGTATATATATGTCTTCTTTTGAAGAAAACGGCTCTTGCCACAAGGAGGTCAGAATAGCAAACCTTCTTGATATAAAAATAGGTAATGTTCATCCAATAATGTTCCCAGAATGATTGCCTAAGGACTTATCAAGGTTTAACAGTGATCCCAGCGTCCCACAGGTTTAATTTACTATGATTTACTCAGAGGATGTTTAAGCAGGGCTCCAGATAAGGTCCGTATCGGCGTATGTATGGATATAAAATAAGCACGATACGGTAGGAAATAATTTAGAAAACGTAGCAGATACGCACCACAGCAATGTTGTGCGGTCTTAGAATCATTGACAGACATATATTTATCTGAAAAAGTATTGTTTTATTGTTTATTGACCTGTTAACACAAGAGTAGCAATGTTGCAGTGCTTATGAAACGAAACACAAGATTACTGATACTCCATTAAATTCCATTCAGTACTCTAAATGTACTCTTATTGTTTTCCAGTACTCCTATATTGAAAAAATAAGGAGTATGTACTCCTGATCATGACAAATTATCTGGATCCCTTTTTAAGCATGGTCAGTCTTTGAATTTTTTACTTTAATTAACAACCCTTTCACTTGTAAGGAACAGATTTGATGATTGATTGATTGATTCTTCTTCACACAAACCAGAGGTATATGTGCCTTTTAAACTTCTTGAAAGTTTTGGAAAAAGACAGTTCTTTGGGAAATTGATTCCTGACTCAGCTACTGTTAAATGACAAGAACTGTGTTGAAATCATTAGAAGCTTGATCATGTTGATCATAAAATTGTATGTACAGGCATTCCAGGAAAGGTTTTGTTCCATATATTTAATACAGATATTTCTGTTGTTCTTATAAAACTGAATAAAATAAAGCTGTTAAAACTGGTTACACAAAACTGTTTTAGATATATACATGTATAACTATTCACATTACCATTAACTTGAACAAAGTAAAAGCAGGTGTAATGTTGCCCAGAATTGGAAGGACAGCTTCAGTGCCATTTGTCAAATGCAAATATCTAGTTATGTGGGAATATCGAACAAATTCGTTTTGATATAGTCTATGATGGGAAATTTGACTTTAATGATGTATAAGGAATACATTTGAGGACTGATTGGTTAGTTTTTCATTACACAAGTCAGATATATGTGTGTTTTTCAAGTACTTGAAGTGTTGTAAAAGACATTCCTTTGGGAAATTGATTCCTGTGTTGACAGCTGATAAATGATGCACATGACAAGTTCTGTGTTGAAATCATTCGAGGCTTGATCATGTTGATCATATAATTGTATGTACAGGCATTCATGGAAACTTCTTGTTCTTTGTGAACATGGATTCATAACTTGTGAATCTCACTCAGAACATCACCATCACTGAACTATCACAAGGTCAGAGTGAGTGAGTTGAGGTTTACCCTACTTTTAGCAATATTCCAGCAGTATCACAGTAGGGGGACACCAGAAATAGGCTTCAAACATTGTACCCATGTGGGGAATCGAACCCGGGCCTTCAACGTGGTGAGCGAATGCTTTAACCACTGGACTACCCCACTGCCCAAACAAGGTCAGATGATGATGGTCATGTTGATGAATCTAACAACTTACAAGTATGGATTCAGTGATTAGAGTGGCCTAAACAACGTGCATTGGAAAATGACTTCATGACAAGATGTTTTCTTCATTTGTAGACCCCCAGTAGACCATTGGAGTTTAAAACAATTGTTTCAATGCATCAATAGTGGTAATATTGGGGTTGCCGTAAATATAACACTGAGTATATGTTATCTGGTGATCAGCTTGATCAGTTCACTAGCTAATTTGCTGAAATAAATGTAAACAATTCTGAAAGAAATATTGAATAAAATCAATAGATTAAAAACTTAAATCCTAATATAAAGTGAACACATATTTATGTTATTAAACTTGATCAAATAACAACAGGAGTAACTTGTGTAATTTATGTTTGTTGGTGTACTACTTTCGGCGTGACCTGCCAGACGACTGGAGTAGTGTAGGCTGCTGCTGTACATGTGGATGTAGGTGCACCTGGCCTCAATGCTCAGGATACATCTGTTGAAGAGGATGTCTTGCTTTCAGCTGCAGACTCAGGCTGGGCAGCCCCCGATGACGTCCATGACGCCTCCGACTCCATGTTCCACACTGAAACATCATCCGACATGGCAGACTTGGGAGCAGACGTGCATCAATTTGGTGCAACTGTGGATGCCTCTATGGAGCAGGGAGCCAAGCCTAGCATAGCCAGCATTGTCAGTAATATCCGCCCAGCTCCACTGGTTACAGACACAGCTAGTGGTAAGAAGATGACATGTCAGCTGTGTGGCAACTCGGCCTGGTCCGACATGGGCTTCATGATGCATATGAACAACCACCCGTCGTGTAAGGAGTGTGGGATCTACATGGCCACTCACATGGATCTGCGAGGTCACATTGAGATGGAGCATGGCCGAACAAACATGCACATGTGTAGGTTCTGTGACAAGGTGTTCTTGACAAAGAGCGGAGTGACGGAACACCAGCGTCTGAAGCACGAGAAGACAGCCCCCAAATTTGTGTGTATGATCTGCGGCCATGTTTGTGTCCGGAAGCGCCATCTTGAAGATCATGTAGAGAATGTTCACAACAGGAAGAACAAATTGCCTCCATAGCATTTGGCTGTGTTGTGTATGTGTCAACAAGGAAGCAAATTTAGACAGTAGGAATTTGAACTCCAAATTTGTGACGGTTGTCCAAACAATATTTTTCAATTTGAATAAAAAACTTAGGTATGGTAAGAATATATGGCATACATATGATAAGCATGATTAGAGGTTGAAGTTTGTTGTTGGTTTCTGTAAGTCGGCCTTAAATTCCACTCATCATCAGAAGACCCTTCTGTTTAAGACCCTTTACAATACAGATTAGAGTCCCGAACTTGTAACATTTAGTAGCACTAAAGCATGAAAGGCAAAGCAGTTTGTCCATGTTTTAATACAAGCACTGCATGTTATGTTTTGGAGATTTTTATATTGTTTCAAGTTCTGTAAGGAATCACCAGACGAAAACATGTAACAATAAAGTTAAATTTCCAGCCTGAAATGTGATACACTGATCTTAAAAATAGTATGATTCTCAGCCCCAACCAAACACTACTGTTCTGTTTGTTGAAATGTTTCTGTTTCCGAATCTATACCTTCAGAATTGGGTCTTGGATTACTTCTAAATTATTAATTTAATTATAATGTTAAATATACCAGTAATATTTAAATACCTGGGTGTCGTTGTACAAAGTGATCTTAGCACTAAGGTGATCATAACTCCCATACCTTAACATAGATTTACGACAGTCTTAGCGCCTTAGCTCTAAGGTGATCGTAACTCCCATACCTTAACATAGATTTACGGCAGTCTTAGCTCTAAGGTGATCGTAACTTCCATACCGTAACATAGATTTATGACAATCTTTGCGCTAAGGTGATCGTAACTCCCATACCTTAATGTAGATTTACAGCTGTCTTAGCACTAAGGTGATTGTAACTCCCATACCTTAACATAGATTTACAGCTGTCTTTGCGCTAAGGTGATCATAACTCCCATACCTTAACATAGATTTACAGCTGTCTTAGCACTCAGGTGATCGTAACTCCCATACCTTAACATAGATTTACAGCTGTCTTAGCACTAAGGTGATCGTAACTCCCATACCTTAACATAGATTTACAGCTGTCTTAGCACTAGCTGTCTTTAAGGTGATCTCCCATACCTTTTAAGGTGATCGTGTCTTAGCACTAAGGTTGCTCCCATACCTTAACAAGGTGATCAGAAACTCCCATACCTTAACATAGATTTACAGCTGTCTTAGCACTAAGGTGATCATAACTCCCATACCTTAACATAGATTTACAGCTGTCTTAGCACTAAGGTGATCGTAACTCCCATACCTTAACATAGATTTACAGCTGTCTTTGCGCTAAGGTGATCGTAACTCCCATACCTTAACATAGATTTACAGCTGTCTTAGCACTAAGGTGATCGTAACTCCCATACCTTAACATAGATTATACGACAGTCTTAGCGCTAAGGTGATCGTAACTCCCATCCCTTAACATAGATTTACGGCAATCTTAGCACTAAGGTGATCGTAACTTCCATACCTTAACATAGATTTATGACAGTCTTTACGCTAAGGTGATCGTAACTTCCATACCTAAACATAGATTTATGACAGTCTTTGCGCTAAGGTGATCGTAACTCCCATACCTTAACATAGATTTACAGCTGTCTTTGCGCTAAGGTGATCGTAACTCCCATACCTTAACATAGATTTACAGCTGTCTTAGCACTAAGGTGATCGTAACTCCCATACCTTAACATAGATTTATGACAGTCTTAGCACTAAGGTGATCGTAACTCCCATACCTTAACATAGATTAACGACAGTCTTTGCGCTAATGTGATCGTAACTCCCATGCCTTAACAAAGATTTATGACAGTCTTTGCGCTAAGGTGATCGTAACTTCCATACTTTAACATAGATTTATGACAGTCTTTGCGCTAAGGTGATCATAACTCCCATACCTTAACATAGATTTACAGCAGTCTTAGCTCTAAGGTGATCGTAACTTCCATACCTTAACATAGATTTACGACAGTCTTTGCGCTAAGGTGATCATAACTCCCATACCTTAACATAGATTTATGGCAGTCTTAGCGCTAAGGTGATCGTAACTCCTGTACCTTAACATAGATTTACGACAGTCTTTGCGATAAGGTGATCATAACTCCCATACCTTAACATAGATTTACGACAGTCTTAGCGCTAAGGTGATCGTAACTCCATACCTTAACATAGATTTACGACAGTCTTTGCGCTAAGGTGATCGTAACTCCCATACCTTAATGTAGATTTTCGACAGTCTTTGCGCTAAGGTGATCATAACTCCCATACCTTAACATAGATTTCCGACAGTCTTTGCGCTAAGGTGATCGTAACTCCCATACCTTAACATAGATTTACGACAGTCTTAGCGCTAAGGTGATCGTAACTCCCATACCTTAACATAGATTTACGGCAGTCTTAGAGCTAAGGTGATCGTAACTTCCATACCTTAGTGTAGATTTACAACAGTTTTAGTGCTAAGGTGATCATAACTCCCATACCTTAACATAGATTTACGACAGTCTTCGCGCTAAGGTGATTGTAACTCCCATACCTTAACATAGATTTGCAAGTAAGGTTGCTTTTTACAATGACACCCGGACACATTCTACTGATTACAGACAAAGTAAATCACTACTTTTCTTGTTTATTGTGCTAGCTGACAAGTCTTTGCATGATGGAAAAGATATTCCGTTTCTTCAAGGACTGGTAATGGGAAATCCCTATTGTACGAATCTGGGCCAGCTCTGTGTGAAGGATCTATTATTCTCATACCCTCACCGCTGACTTGCATCATGGTAGAGCAGTGTGAGAAGTTTCACAACATGTATATTGTTGCACAACCACTGACCATGTTGATCAAAAACATCAAATACGTGGAAAATACCCGTTGACACCCAGATGACCAAACATTTGAAAGTTCTGTATTTGACTGAAATCTACACTCACACTTGGAATGTAAACCACATGGTGACTTAACAGATGCTACAGTGCCTAAATTGAGAATTATTAAAAAAATTGCATTATTCATTAAAATTTCTTTTTACCTTTTCAATTTACACAGTATTGGCAGTTTTTTCTGTATTCCATCACAGTTACACAGTATGTGACAAAACCTGTACCGTAATGAGATGAAGCCCTCTTTTGTTTCTAACATTGCATTAAACAAGAGGGTAGAAAGTTCCCGTGTGGCTACATTACTTGGTTTTCTCGTTAGAAACAATAGTTTGATGCGTTTCTTTCTCTGCTTGTTTGGTGTGTAAACATTAGTGCTGTAAGGATGGATTGCAATTGTTGAGTCTCCGATAGCAATTAATCAATGATAGAAACGAAAAACTGTCGATGCATCGATTGTATGTGTGACTTTGATAGTTTAAAAATTGACTTCTGTTGATAAATGCGTAGCACCAAACACAGGATGTACCAGATTCGCTCACTTTGATTTAGAGTTATCCGCCCCTGTTATGTGTCGGTGGCAAACACGGCATGCGACTCGGATTTAGAAATTGTGAATAACAATAATTTTCTTTTCACTGTTTCAAGTTTCTTGTCAGTTATTAAAAGAGACTGAAACTACTTCAAGTTGTTATTATTTCATATAAACTATACATTCATTTGGGAAATGACTTTAAATGAGAAAATTGAAGGAGATAAAAAACTATTGCAATAGTTGGTCGCAATAGTATGTCACAATAGATAGTCTATTGCAATATCACAATAGCTGTTTCCCTTTCAGTAGTCACCCCCAGTAAACATAGTAAGCTTGACTTCTCAGTATTCCTGCTAAAATCATATCTGGACCAGACAAACTTGTGATTAATGTTATAAGCAGTGACAAAGGCAGTCAGGGTAACAAGCAATCAAGCATATCTGTGAGTCGGGCCACGTGGTCCATTAGATTGTTTCTCACAACCAGCATAGGTCTGTGTTGATGAGATGGATATTAATTGCCAGCTACCTGCATGTAAAACGCTTTCAGTGCTTGTCCAACCATATAGATCTGTGTTAGATTACTGCAGAACAGTAGACGATGTAGATTCATCATTTTCAGATTTATTTACCAGATGCAAAATCCTGCATCGTATGCACCAAAGAAATCCAGAGTGCATTTACTGGAAAGCAAACAGTGCTTGTTTAGGAATGAATGCTGCTCTTTCACAATTTCCTACCACTTTATTTATTTGCTATCAGCAAGGCAAAACAATACAAGTTGCAATAGTTTTTGGCAGGGAAAGTTCAAGTGTGTCTTCAAGTTCAGACACAAATGTGTGAGTAAATAACATATATTCTGTTGTGTATTAAAATTAAAATAAAACCCTCATGAAATTAAACTGCTCTATTGGTATTATTCTTTATAAATTGAACATTATCATTTGACATGTCCCTTGGACTTCCATTGTCCTTGTCTGTGTTTTCTTCAATTAAAGTTTGTCTTGTGGGCCCCCAAAATAAATCAGGCCGTAAATCCTTATATTGGTGTGACAATACTCTTATATACAGAGAGAAATGTTTTAGAATTGTTGAGGGAAAATGCTGATGCATTTGCTTTGAGGTTCCATTCTGTGCCCAGAGAACTGAGGTATCAAATATGAAGTCTTTGTTATGTTCCATAAAAAAAGTAGTTGTGCATTTTGTAATTCAGTTTGAAAACATTGCATGAAAATATTATTGTCAAAATATCATTAACATATTGTCATGAAGTACTATTATTTGAGGCCAGTATGGCAGTGTTTGTGAAAGAGTCTAAACTTATACAGGTGATATGAAAGTACACGTGGATTCATGATGACTCCCATACAAGCAGAAATAAACATAAAGTTCCTTAAAACTTTGAGTGAATATTTCCGGTTCAATGACATCCCATCTCACATGCAGTCTTGACTTCATATTTATTCTGAAAATATATAGGTCACATCAATATAATATTATACATCAATATCAAAATATCCACACATCAGTACCATACTTACACATTATCATATCAAAATATAAATATTGTTTGCACTAATCAATATATCCATATATAGTCGCATATGCAAACTGATCTTCATTCAGACATCTTATCGTTTATTGACTATACTTGTGCCAAGTAACTTTGAACTAAATCTTAGAAACACTTCCTTGTCTTAATGTATCAGATTCATACAGTCAAAGGACATATCTCCGTTAGGCCAGACCAATTTTATTTCTTGTTATATGGATTTTTGTCCTCAAATACTAAAAGTATTTTATTTTTGGCAATTTATGAAGCGTATATGGGGCAAAACAATTTTTTGGGTAAGTTTACATTTTTGGCCATTAAAAACATGAGGATTTTATTATTGAGCGGAGAAAATTAATTAATTTTTTTTCTTATTCTTGAAACAATATGACCGGCAGATCTGTAAAGCAAGAGATAAAATTGGTCTGGCCTTACAATGATTTAAAAATCAGGTAATTGATAGTTATTAGTCTGATAGTTAATTAGAGGATGTCATTGGAAGTGGTATGGATTAATGGGGTGGGAGTGTGTGGAAAGGTTGCCCTGTCATGTATATATAAAGTTTCATATAAGAGAAGAACTGTGTAAAGGTTTCAACTAGAAGCAGCTAAACTGTTCAGCAAAGTCACTCTTTAGTCTATGTTAAATAATGGGGGCAGTGGGGTAGCCTAGTGGCTAAAGCATTGACGCGTCACGCCGAAGACCTGGGTTCGATTCCCCACATGGGCACAATGTGTGAAGCCCATTTCTGGTGTCCCCCCGCCAGGATATTGTTGGAATATTGCTAACAGCAGAGTAAAAACATACTCACTCACTAACTATGTTAAATAATGAAATGCAGGTGAGCCCCAGAACCTAGACTACTATAGCTCTTCCATCAGCAAATCTAATGTACAAATAATGATGTATTTTCAGCTGACCAAGCATTTGTTCCTAGTCCAATCATCAACCAGCCTCACCCAGCACCCAGCTCAAGCAACACTGATGCAGAGGATAAGAGTTATCTCCCTTCCTTCAGCAAGGCATCAAGACATTCATGTGATGATGACACAAAACCTGTTTTGTCCAGTGAGGAGATAAAGAACTTGGAAGAGTATGAAGTAGAGCTTGTTCAATCGGATGGGGAGGAGGAGAGCTTGGACCTGACTTTCCAAGTCCCAAATACAGGGGGAGCATCACAGTAAGTGGTAGGATGGCGCCAGCATGGGCTTCTGTGTTGTTCTTGAAACTCACTTCACACCTGGTACAACACTATGAGTAAACATCAGTTGCTAAAGTTATATGTGGTACCTAAAACTGATTGGTCAGAAACCAGCACACCTGAAACATCTCAATGATGGGCAGAGATAATATTAATAAGCTGACTGTGTTTACATGTTGTCAGAGTCTATGAATACAAATTGTATTATGCAAGCCCACCATTTAGCTGGAATATTGCTAAGTGTGGGGTACAGCTAAACTCACTCAATGTTATATGCAAGCCTTTAGGGGGGAAATAGAGAAACAAACAGAGGTAATGTTCTCTTTATCACCCAATATCATTCTTATCAAATATTTGAAGTATAATAATTCAGATTTAAGCCACATTTTCATTCATGAAATTTGCTTGGAGAATTATTGTGTATGTGTTAGAAAGTATGTGTGGAATGCTTCATGTATCATGTAGCGCCAAATGATATGTCTCCAGACACTTTTACGCATAAAAAAAAACACCTTTAGGTTTTTTATCAAAGTTTGGAAGCAGACGTCACATTGTCATACAGAGCTGGTTTAATAGTAATTCTCGTGACTGAAATTACATATTGATTGTGTCATGATACTCTGAAGTAGCAATTACTACTTCACATGACACAGCTGTATGTGTCTGCGAAATAACTCATTACTACATGCTGTGTTGCATAGGCAGATCCAGGAATTTTCAAATGGGGGAGTGGTTCGAAGCCCCTGAAGCCCCCCCTTGGCTCTGCCAATGCTAAACATTAACACCAATGTGTTCTTCAGTCATTTTCAAAAGTGAGGGGTTTGAATCCCCTGAACCCCCTGACATTGGATCCGCCAGTGTGTTTTGTACATTCTTAATTTAATGAGGATTTTGATTGTGTTTCAGATCCAGTGTTACTGGAGCACAAGACTCAGGTAATTTTCCTTCTACTCACTTAAATCACAAGCACACAATTACTTCTGGTAAAATACTCTACACAACACCTGAACACGTCATGGTGCATGATAGCCTGACTGGTCATAGTGATGGGTACCAGGCAGGCTCGGCAATGTGGCAGTGTTCTAACACCCAGCTCAGTGGGATTGTCTACAGCTGTGAACAATGCTTCCAGACATTTACTAGCATCTGTGATCTGAAGACTCATGCTCTTAAACTACATCAAAATATGTATGTTTGTGATTGGTGTGGAAAGCAGCTGAAATCTTCGCATGGCTATAAACTTCACTGTAACTCTCATGCTGGTGACTATAGATATATATGTCCAATTTGTGACAAACGCTTTCAACAGTCATCTCATCTGGAAGGGCACATCAACACACACAATTCGGTCCGTCCTTTCAAATGTCCAACATGTTTTAAAGGATTTTCATACAGATTTAGTATGACGAAGCATGCTAAAACGTGTAGGGTTGGAGTTAGTGCAAGTGGTTTGGATTGAAAATAAAGTGTCAAATAAAGAACTGTATATTTGTTGTGTCAGTGGAAAAGCAAACTTGGATGGCAATGTTGGTATCTCCCATGTGTTCAAAATGTGAGTTGCTGTTATGGTTGTAGATAAATACTGATGGTGTAGAAGTGTCTGAGCAACATGTCGCCAGGTTGGAAATTTAGTACTGTCATAAATGTGTCGTCATGAGAATATAGCCATGACAGTTGCATCAGTCATCAGCTGGACATGTCGTGCATTGAGATGGCGGAACTAAGCAGTGATGGACCAAATTCACTCACTCATAGACTGAGACAGATGGGTTCTGTGTGTCAGTAGAGTACCTCCTGTAGACAACTGTCCAGTGATGACGAAATGTGGCAGTAATGGACCAAACTCACTCACTCATAGACTGACACAGATGGGTTCTGTGTGTCAGTAGAGTACCTCCTGTAGACAACTGTCCAGTGATGACGAAGTGTGACAGTGATGGACCAAACTCACTCACTCATAGACTGACACAGATGGGTTCTGTGTGTCAGTAGAGTACCTCCTGTAGACAACTGTCCAGTGATGACGAAGTGTGACAGTGATGGACCAAACTCACTCACTCATAGACTGACACAGATGGGTTTGTGTAGTAGTGATGGACCAAACTCCTCACTAACTGACTCCAGTGATGATGGGTTTTGTGTAGTCAGTGATGGACCAAACTCACTCACCATAGACTGAACACAGATGGATTTTGTGTGACAGTGATGGACCAAACTCACTCACTAATAGACTGACACAGATGGGTTTTGTGTAGTAGTGATGGACCAAACTCACTCACTCATAGACTAACACAGATAGATTTTGTGTAGTAGTGATGGACCAAACTCACTCACTAACAGACTGACACAGATGGGTTTGTGTAGTAGTGATGGACCAAACTCACTCACTCATAGACTGACACAGATGGGTTTGTGTGACAGTGATGGACCAAACTCACTCACTAATAGACTGACACAGATGGGTTTGTGTAGTAGTGATGGACCAAACTCACTCACTCATAGACTAACACAGATAGATTTTGTGTAGTAGTGATGGACCAAACTCACTCACTAACAGACTGACACAGATGGGTTTGTGTAGTAGTGATGGACCAAACTCACTCACTAATAGACTGACACAGATAGGTTTTGTGTAGTAGTGATGGACCAAACTCACTCACTAATAGACTAACACAGATAGATTTTGTGTAGTAGTGATGGACCAAACTCACTCACTAATAGACTGACACAGATGGGTTTGTGTAGTAGTGATGGACCAAACTCACTCACTAACAGACTGACACAGATGGGTTTGTGTAGTAGTGATGGACCAAACTCACTCACTAACAGACTGACACAGATGGGTTTGTGTAGTAGTGATGGACCAAACTCACTCACTAACAGACTGACACAGATGGGTTTGTGTAGTAGTGATGGACCAAACTCACTCACTAACAGACTGACACAGATGGGTTTGTGTAGTAGTGATGGACCAAACTCACTCACTAATAGACTAACACAGATAGATTTTGTGTAGTAGTGATGGACCAAACTCACTCACTAACAGACTGACACAGATGGGTTTGTGTAGTAGTGATGGACCAAACTCACTCACTAATAGACTAACACAGATAGATTTGTGTAGTAGTAGATGGACCAAACTCACTCACTAATAGACTGACACAGATGGGTTTGTGTAGTAGTGATGGACCAAACTCACTCACTAATAGACTGACACAGATGGGTTTGTGTAGTAGTGATGGACCAAACTCACTCACTAACAGACTGACACAGATGGGTTTGTGTGTAGTGTGATGGACCAAACTCACTCACTAATAGACTGACACAGATGGGTTTGTGTAGTAGTGATGGACCAAACTCACTCACTAACAGACTGACACAGATGGGTTTGTGTAGTAGTGATGGACCAAACTCACTCACTAACAGACTGACACAGATGGGTTTGTGTAGTAGTGATGGACCAAACTCACTCACTAATAGACTAACACAGATAGATTTTGTGTAGTAGTGATGGACCAAACTCACTCACTAATAGACTGACACAGATGGGTTTGTGTGACAGTGATGGACCAAACTCACTCACTAATAGACTGACACAGATGGGTTTGTGTAGTAGTGATGGACCAAACTCACTCACTAATAGACTAACACAGATAGATTTTGTGTAGTAGTGATGGACCAAACTCACTCACTAATAGACTGACACAGATGGATTTTGTGTAGTAGTGATGGACCAAACTCACTCACTAACAGACTGACACAGATGGGTTTGTGTAGTAGTGATGGACCAAACTCACTCACTAACAGACTGACACAGATGGGTTTGTGTAGTAGTGATGGACCAAACTCACTCACTAATAGACTAACACAGATAGATTTTGTGTAGTAGTGATGGACCAAACTAACTCACTAACAGACTGAGACAGATGGGTTTGTGTAGTAGTGATGGACCAAACTCACTCACTAATAGACTAACACAGATAGATTTTGTGTAGTAGTGATGGACCAAACTAACTCACTAACAGACTGACACAGATGGGTTTGTGTAGTAGTGATGGACCAAACTCACTCACTAATAGACTAACACAGATGGGTTTGTGTAGTAGTGATGGACCAAACTCACTCACTAACAGACTGACACAGATGGGTTTGTGTAGTAGTGATGGACCAAACTCACTCACTAATAGACTGACACAGATGGGTTTGTGTAGTAGTGATGGACCAAACTCACTCACTAACAGACTGACACAGATGGGTTTGTGTAGTAGTGATGGACCAAACTCACTCACTCATAGACTGACACAGATGGGTTTGTGCAACAGTAGAGTACCTCCTCTAGACAACTGTCCAGTGTGGATTGCTTGTAGGAATCTGAGGATGGGGTGGACGCAATGGTTACAAGCTGTGGGTAGTACTTGAAATGGTGACATTTGAATACAGACATACGGATGTGACTGGCTCAGGTAGTTGTTTTATGAACAGATGAATATCAGGCTGATGAACTGATCTTGCAATATTTAACTGCAACTTTTGATCTTTTTCATGTTCTCATAGCTACTGCACTAAAGTCCTGTCGGAAATAGAAAAAAAACTGTTTTTAGTCTGTTACTCTGTATCCCTAAAATTTACACAATTGCAAATAGCATATGTCGAAATAACCCACTTCGGCCTAACTTGGCATTCAGTGGGATGCGTAATAGGATATCCGGAAAAGCATGTTAACTCGTAAAATCGGGCAAAACTTAGAAAAAATACGAATAGTTGCTGAAAACAATAGATCAGACTATAGATGGCAATTAGGTCGCTCAGCCAGGTATGACGACGGACCGTCAACTCACCTGGCATGAAATGCACGTGCTGCCTACAGGCACAAGGGGTCATATCAAAGATATTTTGTGCTTTTTCATGTGTGCTGACTATGTCTCATCTATTGATTAACATCTTATGTGTCTTTCTTTCATAAAGTTTATGTTGAGATATGTTGAGTATGATACCTGATAACCATAGAAACGCATTGTATTAAGTGTTTCAAAATATATAGGTGGCATGACCACCCAATCGCGAAGATCGACAGGACTGGATATTATTTGTAAATTGTTATGACATGCTGTGTACTTCCCCAGTATAATTGCCCTAAAGGATTATCTTATCTTAGCTGATATCTCTATGCCCCAGCCCGACCTCAACGATCGTCTGCAACACCCCCTCCAGGTTTTGCTTTTGAGACAAACCCTCCTATCTGTTTCTTTTTATAGTGATAGTGACTCCATAATAGCTCCATCCTTAATAGTTTCAGCATGAAAGTTATTATTTTTTACGCCAGCTATCGTTTATAAAGAAGCTACGTCTAATTTCAAAATGGGCATTTAAAAAGTGTCCTTTGTAATACAATATCGTCGCAAACTAATTTGCATAAAGCCGTGGTCTGTTCCAAATAAATCGTTTTGGACTTAGAAAAAATACGCATTGCTCATTTCTGCACTAATCTCTCCTTGGTAAAGTCCTTTTTCTACGTTTCCTATCTCCCTACCACTGAGACTCTAGTTAGGCCGATCTTAGTTTAACAGATATTTCACACTTGCACATATCAACTACATAAATTGTATAGATAAATGAGAAAATACAGTTTTTTTCTATTTCCGACAGTACTTTAGTTCCAGTTCTCAGGGTGAACTGAAGGCTCTCACAAATTGTTCAATCATCTGGGATTTAAACATACCACATTTTCAGTACAGTGCCAGGTTACACATAGAATAATTAGAAAAGAGTTGGAATAGAACTGAATTTGAAACATACAGACCAGAATGTATAGCTACTGATATTTGAATGTTGTATTAATCTCTTTTCTACATTTTGTGACCTATGGTTGGGTATGATATTATTCCAAACTGCCAAGCAACATGGTATTCTTCTGTAAACAATAGCTCCTGTGGGC